AGCGTCACGTGGGAGACATGCTCACCTGTTGGTGTCATCGCGCCTGTGTCTTGACGCAGAATGGAAGGCTGACAGCTGCCACTTTTGAGAGTCTTGCACAGCCGAGCAGCCGGGGTTACTTCGTGCCTTCCTGAGGAGTGCGCCGCGGGCTATGCCATCACGAACAATGAGGTCAGAATAGTCCTGGAGGTTGTTGGCTACATACTCTGGGTCATCGCCAGCATCTATTTCATACTCGTCTGCTGCCTTGTCGACAGGACCTCCCTGGATTCTTCGTGTTCGCAGAAAGGATTAAAGTCCAAACGGCCCAGTGCCTGAGGCCCAAGTTTTTGCAACCGAGCTCCTCTGCAGAACACCGGGGTTCCGAAGGAAACAAATCCATGGGGTGGGGGGCTGCTGTTAAGCCTGCAAGCATGCTTGGGAAGTGGGCGGCCGAAAGCCACCACTGCCAACACTATCTCAGACGCAATGAGTGGTATGCTCAAACCCTTAAAAGCCTTCGTAAAGCCTCTGTAAAGCCAGCTGCTCCGAAGACCTACTGGAAGAAGCCTGCCTGAAGGATTCGGTTGGCGATTGCTGTGAACCAAGTGGCTGCCAGCTTTGTAAAGGACACACCCAGGCAGGACAATCCGGAAGCCATTGCTAAAGTCGACTTACAGCAACCGCCGAAGCCTTGGCATCCCCTTCAGGATACTGATCATGCCCATTCTACAAGCTGTGATTGGGATCCTGTGGATCTTGCTCTGGGCCCTCTCGGCAAGCTTTCTGCTGTCACAAGTGCCGGAAGACTACACACCGAAGGCCGGCTGGAGTTGTATTGTTCTGCTAGATTTCGGAAGGCTCTGTGCAGTGTGTGCCCCTGCACCAGGAGGCTTTCACATCCTATGACGAAGCTTTTGGAACCGTGACCTGGTAGAGCTGCGGGTTCAGCTGATTCACCAAGTGAGTCGAAGGTTTGGCTTGAAGTGTTTGGGAGCTTTTGGTGATGCTGAGCTCTTTGCGGATGCTTTGGGGCGACAGGGAGTGGTGTCTTTCTGCCATTGGAAGCTCACAACCAAGGCGAATGTTTCTGGCAAGTGCACGGACAAGTGGCCTACGGGTGGGGTTTGGAAATCTGAGTCCTGTGGCTTGCCTGCAGATTCTGGCACACCCTCTTGCACGGATGGCTTGCCAGGTAGACTGTTTGGCTCTCGGTCTGTGGCGCTTGGGACAGGGGAAGAATTGTTTTGAGAAGTCTGGGAATGAACTTGTTGCTAAGGGGGAGGCCCTGTTGCACGGTTTTTCCATTTTCGCATGCAGCAAGGCAGGACAGGAAGCAGCAGGCAAGGTCTTCCTTCCACAGCATGCCAAGTAGTTGATACTTTACCAGGTCAGAACACCCAAAAACTACCCAGGTGATTTGGTGAACGGGACCTACGCGTGCTGGAGATGCTCTCCTCCGCGGTATGTCTTCGACTGGCGATTTGCGGTGCCTGTCCAGGAAATCAAGGTAACATATCCGACCACATGCGATGCTTGGGACACTGACGGCATGTTTTGTTTGGCAAGGTTTCCTTCTTTGTTTTCCTTTGGAACAACGCCGCAACCTCAGCTCACGTTCGTGTTTGCCCGGTCGATAGGAAGACCAGCATCCTCTCGTGATCTGTTAGTGCAGGCCCTGAACATTGCCATTGGGCAGTGCCTCATCGCTGGTGCCGTCGGGATATGGTTCTTCACCTCAAACTCCGACAAAGGCACCAAGCGGGTCGCTTGACACAATGCAAGCACATCACGATCCGGGGCCCTGGGCGAGATCCCTGCACCAGACTCAAAAGACAGCAACCCTATAGCCTAGAAAAGCTTGAGGTCATTGCGCAGTCCACATGGTGCCTTGGTTGTGTACTGTGATAGATGTAGATGCCGGGTTGGAGTGTGCGAATTGTGGCCTCTGGGATGCGTGGTCACCCAGAATGCAAGCAAGCAAGGAACGTGTTCCGCTACCACTTGGGTTCGTTGGCCTTTGGCTCCTTCATTATCGCGGTGATACAGTTCATTCGCTACTTGATGAAGTACTACGAGAACCTTGCCCGGCAAGTGTTCCATCAGGAGCTGCCACCATGGACAGACCAGTAAAGTAAAGCAATGGCTCGGGCTTCGCTACGGTAATGATTGTGTACTAGTAGCTTAATAACTATCTGTTAGCAAGAAATGTTCCACTGAGTGTTGCACTAATTTCAACATCACTCGGAGGCATAGTACGAATAGAAGGAGTATAGTGCTCATGATGCCAAGCTGCCTGGGTCTGTAGCAGGGTCTTCTTGCTGAGGAAGCAAGCAAAAGCGGCAAAGAACCGGGTACTGGTTCTGGTCCTCAAAGTCTTGCAGTGCTGTATTTGGTGCTTCGAGAAATGTGCCGGGTCCTTGGCTGGCGACGTCTGCAATGCGCTTTAAGTTGCCGGATCTGTGGCAGAAGCCATGACAGGTCAAGTTCCTGAATAAGAGACTTGGGCTGCAGCGCAGGGGGTCGATACATGCACAGACCAGAACAGAGCCGCAACCAAGGAATGCGTATATTCAGATCGCTTTGATGGGTACGAACTTCTGCGTGTCTGCCAAGAAGGCCTTCTTCTTGATTCTGAGAAATGCCTTCCGGTTCGGAACCGTGGCAATCCTCGGGGCTCGCTGGCGAAGTTGATGAATGTTTTCATATCGGTTGTCCTGAGAGAGGTTAGAATTTGCAGCTCTGTGCTTTTGAAATACCTTCGTGTCACCTGAGACTATGATCCATGCCATCGGTTTCCTGTTCATCATCGCATCCAGTGTAGCTCTGGGCTACCTCATCTTGACGGGCCTCTATCCTGATATTGCCCCTGCTGTCTGCCTCATCATCTACGGCTGCACAGCCTACGTTGCCTCGACCTCGGTGCTGTGGCAGTCAAGTCTTCAAGCATGGAAGCGGATCTCGGAGTTCACGAGGTTTCCAAGCTCTTCATGCCCCTTGGCGAAACCGGAATGCTCACGGGATCTGAGAGCTGAAAGGCCGAGGCTCCTGCAGCGATCGCGAGCGTATGAGACTACTTCAATAAAGACGATCTAGAGGGCATGCTTTATGCCTTTGTGTCGATGTGCGGACACGCAGAGCCTTAACACAGGCGAACAAAACGACCTTGATCCAGCACACTGCTATAAAATACCGCGGGTCTACATGTGGTGCCGAGGGGCTCACGTGGATCGTTTCTGACAGCAGCAGTTTGAATTTGGTGAAGCAGGGCAGGCCAGCACTCTCGCACACCCACCTCCCACTCCCGTCCACCGATACCTTCTGTGTCAGATTCGTGCATGTTGGGGCAGAGAGCTAGCAGGTTGGTTTCTAAGTGTTACTGGATTCTCGCAAGCGGGTGTGTTGCACTGTCTCTCTGGTTGCATTGTCGCACTTTGCGAGCTCAGGAATGTATTCGGCCTTGCAGTGGACACAACGTTGCAGTGTTTCATCGCTTGCGAGGAGCTAGCATGGCTGTGCGTGCGAGCACCAAACCTCCATGCAGCTGGAGGTCAGGTTGTGATGGTTGCTAGTCGCACTGTAGCCTGCAGGAAATGGAACTGGGAGGCGACTTCGTTCCGAGCTCCATGGGCAGATGGATGCTCGGCTCGACCGAAGACATTTTCATTGCATCTCGCCTACCTGTCTTTGTGTTGCTGTTAGTCGATCCCCGCCCCAGGCTGGACAAGTCCAAGCCCATCGTCGATGAGGATGAGTGAGCACGGAGGCAGCTGTCAACCTTTTGCCCACGCACCCCGCGTGGAGCATGCAGATGTTCGGAGCTAATTCATGCATTTGCTCATTCATGCTCTCTGGATGGATGCTGCTTTCAAGGTGCTTGCTTCCTTTCCCTGTGTCTGCATGTTCAATGCAGGACTCATAAACTGATGGGAAGGACGCAACCAACAGAGTGCATCTGGTGCACTGAGAGTAGGGCCCGACCTGGCCGTCGCACGACGATCACGACATGATCACGACACATTCTGACATCCCGGCGCGAGCGCGGAAGGGATGTGTTTCACCGTTGAAGTCTGGTTTCCCGGCTACGGCCGGAGAGATTGTTTGCCGTCCATGTCCGAATGGACAGCAAGGCAACTGCTACTTCCTTGCCGCTGGGCTGTAAACGAGATGTACCTTACCAATATAATGCAGCTTCCATGCTGCCCATCTTACTAGGCAGTCTACCTTTTCCTGCTAGAGAGTGCCAGCGGCAGCTGTCAGATGGCTGGAAGTTGTCCCACCCAGCAGATGGTCGGTCAGTTTGGCAGTCATGTTCCAGACAGCTCTTTGCAGGTGACACTGAGTTGGCTGCATCAAAGTCAAAGCGTATCGGCAAAAAGCTGCCACATCCCGCAATTCCTAGATTGTACAGGCTCTTGCAGTGCCATTCGGGGAGCCTCTTTTCGTGCTTTTGCTCTTCTCGAGCCTGGACTCGTCAGCAACCCAGAGCTCAAAATGCCTTGACCGGGCCCCGCTTTGAGCGAGCAAGAAAGCCGAGACGGCCGCAAAGCCGAGAATCGGAAACTTCCTGAAGTCTCAGCAGCAACATGCAATTGATCCCTCTCAGGCTTGCTCTTGCTGCTCTGTGTTCCGGGTCGTCCCCTCGAGCATGCCTTGTCTGGGTGTCGCTACACTTTGCTGCCGCTTCAGGCGGAGCCCGACACGCTGCTGCCGGAACCACCGCAGCAGGACTTAGAAGCGACTCTGTAGCGCCACGAGCACCCATCTTTCCAAGCTCTCCGCCATGTCGGTGACTTCAGGATGCACCTGAGAAGAAAGGGAGCAAAGTGTGGCTCGGTCACGTCAAGAAGCTATGGGGACACGAAGGATGAGAGTCGGAGAAGCTTGATTTCTGCAGGAAGAAGCCCAAGAAAGGAAAGGAAGAGAAGGAAAAGGAGAAGGCACGGCTGAGTCTCGACTGTAGGGCTTCTGTGTGCGATTTCGACACGTCCACGCCAATATGTGCCCCGGAGGCAGAGGCCATGAGCCAAGAGCCCAAAGATTCCAAGGAATCGACAAAAAGCTCGAAGTCCAAAAGCAAGGAGAAAAAAGAAGCGGAAGGGAGCGTCGCTGATGAGCCAGCCGGTGCAGCACCAGATGAGCAGTTCATTGGCAGGGCCCTGAGTTCTGGGCTTTGGCTCCTGCACGGCTGATCGAGCCTTTTCTCTAGTGACTCTAGTGGCAGTGGTTCTTCAATGCTTGCGTGTCTTGAGGCGCAGGCGGTTGAAGACCATGTTGACACGCAGTCTGGTCTTTAGCTGAGGCAAATTCCATTCAGCCCTGCGCGTTGACCTTAGGTGTCTCTCCGTATGATTTCCTTGCGATTTGATTTGGGAGCTCACCGAGAATGCTTGCCGAGGGTGGGGAAAGACAGAGGCTGAGGCACCTGCTTTTGTCGCAGCTCCATGTTGGCCAGAACACCCATTTAGAAGTCCGGACAAACTTGTCTACCTTTGCAGATGCGGTACCTCTGCGACGTTAGGTACAGGCGCTGGTGACAGATGCCTCGGTGTGCTGGCCTGAGGTCTTGCTGCTTGCAATCAATTATGTCCTGTCTTGTCGTGGATGCCTGGCTGCCCCCACAGAACGTGGCAAATTCTGCACGGAGCCAGCGAGCAAGGTCCCAGCGCTCTGCAGCAAGCCAGAGTCTTAGCTCTTGGATGCAGTGAAGCTCGATGCTTGCAGTGTTGCTGTGGCGGTACTGTTTTAGATTATTGGTGTGATATATTATGGTTAGTACCATGATTGATGTCATTGTTACTATGCTCGCCGTTAGATTGCTACTGCTGCTACTGGTTCTGCTGCTCTACTACTACTACTACTA